GGTTCCCTCCGCCCGCGGCCGCCGCTCCCCCGGGAGGAAAGGCCGCCTGGCGCCGGCCGGGGGCGCTGCGCCCTCCCTCCGGAGCCGCTTCCTCTCGCCGCGAGGCGCCCGGGGCTCGGACCTGGACCCCGGGCTGGCCCGGCTGCGTCCCCTCCCCCGGGGCGGACGTCCCGTGACTTCTCAGCAAATGCGGAAAGCTGCAAGCACTGTCTTCGCGTGTCCCTGACTCCCAGAGGTCGGTGTCCCGAAACCTGGAGGGGCGCTCCCTTGGCCGGCGCGGCCCGGCTCGCGAAGCGGGGCTGGGGGCGGGCGGCCGGGAGACGGGGAGGGACAGCGGGCCCACCCGGGTCCTCCCGGCCCGACGGTCCGCGCAGGCGGTGTCGTGCGGCGGCCAAGTGTCACGGACTTTGGATTCAGACAGCCCCGGCTCCGCGGCTCGTTAGCTGTGACTTCGGGCGAACGACTTCACATCGCTGAGATCTGTCTCCTCGTTCCTCAGACGAGGGGCTGAAAGGGATGGTGCCTGCAAAGCCCGTGTCTTAACCACGCTTGCAGCGAGTTTGGCACCTCGGCTGGAGCAATTAATCAGCGCCGTGTTTCGGCTACCTCTTGACTCACTTCTTCGGGGCAGGAAATGTGCCCGAATTAATCAGAGCAACTCAGTGACGAAGAGGATATAACAGTATGTAACACAGGCTCTGGAGTCAGCTCTGCTGTGTGATCTCTTACTACTGTGGGGATGGAACGAGTTAAGGCACATGTAAAGCATTAGGGCCTTACCTGGTAACTAGTAAGTACTCAATAAATGCTAACTATCGTTCTCTTGGCGTCCTGCTTAGGGTTGGAACTTCCCCCTCTTTCTTTTTCTTTTCTTTCTTTTCTTTTCTTTTTTTTTTTTTTGAGACAGGGTCTCTGTCACCCAGGCTGGAGCTCAGTGGTACAATCCCAGCCCACTGCAGTCTCAACCTCCTCCCGCCTCAGCCTCCCTACTAGCGCACCACCACACCTGACTAATTTTTAAATGTTTTGTAGAGGTGGGGACTATCTTGCCCAGGCTGGTCTCAAACGCCTGGGCTCAAACAATCCTCCTGCCTCGGCGCCTGCCTCAGCATCCCAAAGTGCTGGGATTACAGGCATGAGCCACTGCACCCAGCCTTTTTTTTTTCCCTTAAAATGTAACCGTAAGCCGGGCTTGGTGGCTCAGCCTGTAATCTTGCGCCTTTGGGAGACTGAGATGAGTGAATTGCCTGAGTCCGCGGGTTCAAGACCCACCTGGGCAACTTGGCGAGACCTCATCTCTACAATAAATCAAAAAATTAGCGGGGCGTGGTAGCGTGCAGTTCCAGCTACTTGGAAGACTGAGGCGGAAGGATCGCCAGAGCCCAGCAGGTCGAGGCTGCGGTGGCCGGGAACGGCCACTGCACTCCAGTCTGGGCGACAGAGTAAGACTCCAACTCAAAAAAAAAAAAAAAATGTAACCATAAAAGGTTTGCTGATACACGATTTTTTCTTGTAGGCATTTTAAAACTGTAAACATGCAGAAAGATAGGACCCAACATACACATGCTTAGCACCCGACTTGGCATAAAATAATGTTGTAAGCAGTGTGTGTATTATGCTCTTTATCCTATTTATCCTGGAGACATCTTGATTCTGGAGTTCTCTGTATGTCTTAACCCAGCCTATTAGTGTGGTCCTTCAAACTGCTAGAGGACAGGGACTGGATGACGCTCTGGCAATTAATTCTATGTAGAGATGATACAGATAGATGAAGCCTCACTGTAGTGAAAAACTACCAGTACTCTCCAAGGATTAAATGGAGTGGCCACTCTTGTCAACAGGCTTCCTGGGACAGGTGTTCACCTCCATCCAGTTTCATCAGCCTTCAGACCCATCTTATGCAGTGGGCAGAATGGCAGTCCTCTGAGTCCTAGTCTTATCGCTAGATGACTTTACCATTTTATTTATTTATTTTTTTGAGTTGGAGTCTCACTCCATCGCCCAGACGAGTGCAGTGGCACGCTCCCAGCCACCGCAGCCTCTACCTTTTGGGCTCCGGCGATCCTTCCGC